GGGTTCGTTGCGACTACGGAAGGCTTGAAGATGGACCCCAAGAAGGTGGAAGCAATCGTGTCCTGGGAGGTTCCGAAGACGGTGAGAGACATACAATGCTTTCTTGGCTTTGCCAACTTCTATCGGATCTTTATCAAGAATTACTTTCAAGTTGCTGCTCCTCTCACTCGGTTGACATGCAAAGATAAGCTGGAATGGGGACCTCTTGCGGAGAAGGCATTTCAAGACCTAAAAATTACATTTATTACGGCTCCAATCTTGATACACCCAGACTTTACAAAGGCCTTTTATTTAGAAACTGAAGCTTCGGATTTTGCTTTGGGAGCTGTACTTTCACAAATGGGAGAAGACAAGAAGCTCCATCCGGTTGCATTCTATTCTCAAAAGTTCTCTGCTGCTGAAATCAATTATGAGATCCATGATAAGGAACTTCTTGCTATAGTGGATTCTTTCTAAGAATGTCGTCACTTTCTTGAAGGAGCTGCACATCCAGTGATCATATACATAGATCACATGAATTTGGAGTATTTCATGTCGACTCGAGTTCTAAATCGAAGTCAAGCTCGATGGAGTATGTTGTTATATAGGTTCGATTTTATTATCACTTATCGACCTAGAAAGCAGCAAGGACAAACTGATGTCTTATCGAGGAGATCATATCTTGTATCAAAGGCTGGAGAAGCAGCGTTTGATTAACAATTTACGACATTATTGAAGCCAGAGCAATTTCAGCTTTGCGCTACTATTATGCCAATTGATGCTGACTTCCTGAATCAAATACGTACCGTAACCATTGAAGATTCAATAGCCATTGATATTAAGCAGCTTGCCAATGACGACAAGTTCAAGGTGGAGGGAGATCTTTTATACTTTGAAGAACGATTGTATATCCCAAAAGGACAAGCACGACTTCGAGTTCTTCAATCTCGCCAAAATTTTCCAGCTGCGGGATATTTTGGATCCAACGAGACCTTGGAGCTTATTTCTCGAGATTTTTGGTGGCCCCAAATGTGGAAGGATGTGAAAGATTTTGTCCTCTCTTGTGACATCTGTTCAAGATCCAAGAATCCTCGGCATCGCCCTTATGGACTCCTACAGCCATTGTCGATTCCACGTCGACCATGGTCTTCAATTTCCATGGACTTCATCACAGACCTGCCATCATCGAACTCATTTGACAGCATCTTTGTCGTGGTAGATCGGCTTACAAAAATGGCACACTTTGTCCTTTGCAAGAAGACATCGTCTAGTGAAGTCACAGCAAGGCTCTTTCTGGTTAATGTGTATCGATATCATGGACTACGAGATGATATCATATCAGATCTAGGAACCCAGTTTGTATCAAAGTTTTGGAGATCTCTCTTTGAGATACTGAAGGTGGATATCAAGCTTTCTTCGGCTTTTCATCCTCAAACTGACGGTCAAATCAAACGGGTGAACCAAATCTTGGAACAATACTTACGATGCAGCATCAACTATCAGCAAGACGATTAGACCACATATCTGTCGCTAGCCGAGTTTGGATATAACAACACCTTCAATGCATTGATTCAATACACACCATTCTTTTCCAACTATGGGTATCATCCAAAGCTTGATTTATTGAGTCCATCAACAAATAACAATCCAAGAGTTGAAGGATTTGCGAAACAACTATCAGAGCTTCAAAATACGTTGAAGCTTCAATTACAATCCGCTCAAGAATCCTACAAGGCGTCTGCAGATAGATTTCGGAATCAAGCACCTACTTTCAAAATTGGAAATAAAGCATGGCTTCTTCGACGAAATATCAAGACCAAGCGACCATGTGATAAGTTGGACTATCGAAGATTGGGACCATTTATTATCCAAAAGCAAATCAATCTAGTGGCGTACCGTCTTGAATTACCAGTTTCTATGAAGGTACATCCAGTCTTTCATGTTTCTCTGTTGGAGCCTTATCGAGAGTCATCTTTTCCTGGAAGAGTGCAATGTCCGCCATCTAGTATTGAGATCGAGAATCACGAGGAATACGAGGTTGAAAAGGTGCTGGATTCTCAGCGAAGGTGGGGCAAGTTGGAGTATCTTGTTCATTGGTGCGGCTATGACATTAATGAGCGAACGTGGGAGCCAGCTGAAAATCTCACCAATGCGCCACAAAAGGTACATGAGTTTCATCAACAACATCCTCATAAACCTAAGTCGCTTTGACAATAGCTTCTTTCTGAAGCTTGCTCACCTAAGAATATAAGAAAGGGGGAGAGCACCACCAAAATTCGTAGTTGATGTACTTATATTCTCGAAGATAAAATAGAATTTTTTCAATAGCCACAGTTTGGTCTTCCGATATGGATAGCCAAGAGATAGATACTATGCCAGTCAGATTATGTCAACCAACTAGTTCACGAAGGCGACCCCGAGATGAAGAACCACCTGCACCACGACGACGACGGAGGATACCAAGTAACCGATCACTAGTGATTGTATTTGAGTCTGAGCCTGCTTACGATGGTCAACCAAAAGGCATATTTGCAGGACAATTTCACAATGAAGACACGGAAGTTCATGCTTAGTCAGAAGTTGAAGGAGTGGGCCACTACCGTTGGCTTCAAGGGTCGATGAACCACTTACCTCGTGAACAACAGTTGGAGTTCATAGCAGACGTTATACGACAGATCTTCATTTTCTTGCGTTGATACTGATTGACAACATTGCTTCTCAAAGACCTCGAAGCTAAAGGAGGGGGTGATGTTAGGGACATAATCCTTAGAACCTTCTAGAGACAAGCTTCTAGAACTTTCTAGAAGCAAGTCTCTGAAACCTTCTAGAAGCTTCTTAGTTGGTAGAAGATGTTAGGGACATAGTCTTTAGAACCTTCTAGAGATAAGTTTCTAGAACCTTTTAGAAGCAAGTCTCTGGAACCTTCTAGAAGCTTCCTAGTTTATAGAAGTTGCTTGAGAAGCTTCCTAAATAGGAGTATATATTGGAATCGAGGCTGAAGAGTTCTTCAGTCTCGACAACACATCTCTTGGAGCTCTAGCTCACCTCTCTGGTGTTGTTCTTGTATTCATCTGATTAATCTAGTTCTTGCTAGTTCTTCTTGAACTTCTTGATAGATATCAAGTCTGTATTCTGTGTCCGTGACTAGGGGCTTATAAGAAAAATCTAAATTACTTAAATATGAAAGTAACAAGGTAATTGGGATTTGTGTATGATTAAGATGACTAAGAAGAGTATTTTTTTAGCACTTTTGGATTGAAATTTAGATTATATTCTTCTCATATGGATGAAACTTATTAGATTTTCTTAGATACTTGTCAAACACAACCTCACCTTCTACAACTAAATACTCAGTGTCATGTTGTAACAAGACTATATGGTAAAAGATGATAACATGGATCTTATTATAAAAGAGCTAAGTTAAAAGATAAAGTAGAAAAACATGGATAAAAGATAAGGTAGTAAATTTTTACAAAATTTACTTCTATTTACTTTAAAGAGCCATAAATAAGGTAAAATAAGCTAGATTAGAAAAATAAATAATATAAATATCTTTAAGAAAAAGTTAAAAGTAAATTCTAGCAAAAATTACATAGAAAAAATAGGTATTGATACCTGAGAAGGGTTAGATATCAACCTAGGTCGAAATCAGACCTTGAGACAAAACCAAGCACCTATGGCAATTCGGGTTTCTTTTTAGAGATCAAAGAATGGAGTTTGATAGCAAATTGGATAAGATTTCTATGAGCATTGGTTTTAGATGATCTAGATTTGTTATGACTTTGTAAGAGCTTTAGAATGTCAAGTTTGTTTTCAGATGACTTGGATTTTGTGAAATAAAATAGGGTTGACATTTCTAGTGATTTCAAGAGTTTTGTAGTAGATCTACAAGTGAAATTTTGTGGATTAATGGTCATAGTTGTACTTAATATGTATTGTGAATCTTAGCTCGATCTAATGGTTGAATTGAGGATTATTGAGGTTTAAGTGGGTCAAGGTCTTAGAAAGTAGAATTTTAGGTCTAGTGAGGGTTTTTAAGATTTCTTGTAATCTACAAGTTGGATCAGAGTGAAATTTATAGGTGATGATAGTAGAATTTTTTTCCTATGTATATAAAAAGTTTATAATCAATCGAATGGTGAAAAAGAGAGATATTGGCTCTGGAAGATTGGCATCAAGGTTGAAGAAGGAGGCTGGCTAATACCTAAGCATATTTTTGAGGTTATCGTCTATTTGGTAATTTTGATCCTTTTCAAATTATTTGTACTTATTTTCAACTTAGTTTTTAAGAAGTATGCAAAATTTGAGTTAAGATCAATGATTTATTCATTAGTTATTGAGGTTTAAATCTATTGTAGAAATTACTAGGATTTGGTTAGGATTTGATTTAAGATTTTAGATTTGGTTAGGATTTGATTTAGGATTTAGGATTTGATTAGGATTTGTTTTAGAGTTAGGATTTGATTAGGGTTTGATTTAGAATTAGGATTTGGTTAGGATTTAGTTTAGGATTTGATTTAAGGTTTAGGATTTAGTTAGGATTTGATTTAGGATTTGGTTAGGATTTGATTAGGATTTGGTTTAGGGTTTAGGATTTGGTTTAGGATTTAAGGTTTGATTAGGGATTTATTAGGATTTAGTTTAGGGTTTAGAATTTTATTAGGATTTATTTAGGATTTAAGATTTAGTTAGTTTTTGGCCTAAAGTTTGAATGAAATTGAATAGAATTTTAACTAAGATTAAATTAAGATTGAATTGAGATGTATTTGAGATATATTTATGATCATTTTAATATTTTTTTAAGATTTCTTATTGTTTCTTTGTGATTCCTTTGAGGTTTCTTTGAATTTGATTAAAGCTTGCTTAGCATTGTTATGGTCTAATTAGAATTTAGTTAATATTCTATTAAAACTAGGATTTTGTTGTTGCAATTTCCATTCTACCTTCCACAACTAGGTGCCCGAAGCATTTTCAAGCAAGACTTCACGTATTACAACACCGGTGCAATCCTAAACAAGACATAGAAGCGATGCTAAGTGAGTTTAAATTGATTGAAAAATCCAACTCAACTCCTCTCATTAAGTCCTGGGTAGTTGACTTAGGAGCTACTGCTTAAGTCATGAAAGGGAGTCATTCTCTGAGCTCAACAAGCATCCATCTGCCAATGTTCCCACTGCTAGTGGTGCTAAGCTACTTACTTCTGGTCCTGGATGTATATCTGTTGCAGGCAATAAAATCTCTGAAGTTTTGTATGTACCGAAAGTCACTAGGAACTCTCAGTTGGCCAGCTTGCTGATCTAGGACATCTTGTTTTTAAAGCGAAGAGCTGTCTGGTGATGGACAAGAAAATTCCATCCAAAGTGTTTCGTCGAGGGACCAGGGACCCGGAGTCAAAGCTGTACAAGCTTGACCGTCTTCCTCCTGATCCCCCACTTAGAAAACTTGGACGAAAATACTTTCTTACACATCCGACTCTCACTGCTACGTGTGTACTTTCCTCACCAACGCCTACATCGCCATCGTAGAGTGGACCTGCTTCATCGAATATACAGTCCGCAGGGTCAATCTCGCATACTGACAACCTCTGGCACCAGCGCATAGGACATGCAAATCATCAGAGGCTAGCATTCATGACAAAACATGGACTCATCACCGGAGCTCCAGTTTACTCTCACAGAGGCGTGTATGAAGTTTGCTCCAAAGCAAAACAGACGAGGCAGCGAATTCCTAAAGCAACGTCAAGTCGCTTCAACTGATTCATACTGATGTTTGTGGTCCCTTACCTGTTGCAGCAGCTGATGGACCCCGCTCTGTCCTGACTTTTACAGACGACTTCAGTCGTTACTCATGGGTGTTCCCTACAAGGCTAAAAAGTCAAGTGTTTGATTACTTCAAGCTTTTCAAACAAGTAGAAAACCAGCTTCAGAACAAAATCTCGTGCGTACGTAGCGACCGTGGCGGAGAATATATGTCAGATCAATTTTCTCGATATCTCCACAGTCAAGGAATACGTCGTTAATTGACAGTCGCCCGCACACCTCATCAAAATGGGGTGGCGGAAAGGAAAAACCGAATCTTGTTCAAGATGGTTCGCTGCCTAACTTTAGGCAAAAATCTTCCAGCCTTCCTCTGGGGAGAGCTAGTTCGCACTTTGAATCACATCAATAATCGATGTAGTACCCGTGATCTGAATTCCATCACACCTTTCGAATGCCTGTTTGGTGCAAAACCCGATGTATCACACTTCCGCATTACAGGCAGTATTGCCCATGTTCACATTCCTGAAGCTATGCGCTCTAAGCTTGGCCATCGTTTCATCAGATGACACTGAGACGGATGCTGCCATGCTTGTTGATTCAAGAGATTCAGATGTCACTGGCGACACTCGAGACGATACAGTGCATCATAGTCCCTCTCCACCAGTTCTGAGGGAAAAACGGAAGCGACTACCAAAACCTCTTCCACTACCTCGAGAACCTTCAACAAGAATCAAATCGGACAACTCAAGACATCTGGGGTATCACATGTACACTGCTACCACCGATTATGCATTACTAACTGACACTTCTAGTGAAATTCGATTTGCAGATGTCATTCAGGACCGAAGGTGGAGAGAGGCCATGGAGGTCGAAATGGAAGCACATTTTCGGAATGGCACTTAGGAGCTTGCAGAATCACCTCCTGTCGAGTCCTCACTTTCCGCAAAGTGGATCCTGAGAACTAAGACAGATCATGCTGGCAACATTCGTTACAAAGCTCGAGTAGTGGCTCGTGGGAACGAGCAAAGGCCAGGTCTCAATTATGATGAAACCTTCGCACCAGTCGTAAAATGGTCAACTGTCGGACTCGTGGTGGCATCAGCATCGGCATTTGGCTGGCCCATCTCTCAGATGGACGTAGTAACAGCGTTCCTCAACGGGACCCTGAAAGAACTTATCTTCATGGATCAACCAGCTGGATTTGAGGTCGCTGGAAAGGAGCATCTTGTCTGCAGACTGAAGCGGTCAATCTACGGGCAAAAACAAAGCCCACGAACCTGGTGTGATGAAGTCGATTCCTTTTTCCGTCAAATTGGATGCACTAGTAGTCTTCTCGATCCTAACCAATACATTTTCCGAAAAGGCAAAGATATTGCGATCATTATTATGTTCGTCGATGACCTGCTCATTACAGGTTCATCAACCAAACTGATCAACTCAATTAAGGATCAGCTCTGCTCCAAGTATGACATGAAAGATTTGGGAACAGCACGAAGATACCTGGGAGTAGATTTACTCGTCACAGACACTGGAATTTTAATGCATCAGGCAGACTGCTGCCACGGCTTGATCAAGGATAACAGCATGGAAAATTGTCGCCCTGTCAAGACGCCACTTCCTGAAGAGCTAACTCTGTCGGCTGAAACAGGCACTGCGGAATTTGACTTTACTACGTATTGCCGACTGGTAGGAAAATTGATATATCTAACTAATCCTAGGCCCGATTTGTCATTCGCTGTTGTAGTCAGCAGGTTTATGGCACATCCCTGGCAAGCTCATTGGGATGCTGCGGTACACATTCTGCGATACATTAAGGGAACTGTAGACCTGGGAATTTCATTTCAAAGGTGCCCAGAACTGGAGCTCAAAGGTTTTACTGATTCAGATTGAGGTAACTCGTGTCCAGACACAAGGCGGTCCACCGGAGTTCACTTGTTCACGCTGGCATCGAGACCGGTTAATTGGAGCAGCAAATGTCAGCCTACAGTGTCTCGAGCCACCACTGAAGATGAGTATAGAGCTCTTTCAGACGGAGCACAAGAAGGTGTCTACCTGAAGCGCCTAATTGAGGAACTACGAATGCACATGTTGCCACCGGCTTATTTAAATTGCAAAGATGCCACGATCTCAAGTAATATGTCTATAGCTCACATTCTGACACAGCAAGATTTGCACCTCCTGTGTGACAACGTCAGTGCTATCAAACTGGCAAAGAATCCAGTCTTCCACGCCAGAACAAAACACCTGGAGATTCATCACCATTTCGTCAGAGAGCAAGTTCTGGCATTGGAAGTCACAGTTCAGCACATTTCTACATCCGAGCAACCTGCAGATATTCTAACCAAAGCGCTTTCTTGCATCAAGTTCGAGCAACATCGAAGAGGAATCGGCATGCGGACTATTGATAAGATGCAATTATTGCAAAATTCTTCGTCATTCAGATAACAGGGAAGTTTGTCCCTTGTCCAAATTTAGGAACTTGTCTGTAGATTCATCAGCTCATGCCTCTGCCCATCTTGGAGTCGAGCCAAGCTCGAGGGAGGGTGTTGAAAGCCTTGCATCTCGCTGACTCTAGCATTAAGAAGGAAACGTCTAACCGTCTTAGTTTAGCATGTAAACTCAGCGGTCGGTAACGAAATCAAGCTGTATGATCTTGTCACTTAGTCTAGGAAACGCTCGACTAATCTGGTTCAGCGATTTGATCTTGGCCCTGCACATTCTGCGGGGGCAGTTGAGGTCACAGACTCCCCTCTCTCCTGTACTTAATCCCTGTTTTGGGTTAACGAAAACAGGTCGAATTAAAGCTTTTCTTTCCACATAGATGTGCACAGTAGAGAGCTGTGAAGTTGAGCAAATTGCGCAAGTTAATGCAGAAATTTATGCATTAGCATCATCGCACGAACTAGACTTGCTGCCTAGAAACTTTAGACAAGGCAATGTGAAATTAACAACGGATTCGGCACATGCCACCACAAAGGCTTCGAAACAGTACTGAGCAATAAGTACATGACTGGGCCTTCAATACATTCATGTATTCCAATCCACACACAAGCAACAGGAATTTGCATCAGAGACGGCACATCATCACCCCCAATTCCGAAAGAAGAACGAGCGAGCACTGGAAAAGTTACCTCAAGCTTTGACCCGGGGTGAACATTGAGCACCATGGGCACAATAACCACCACGTTTCTCAATGAAGGCCGTGGAGAACAACTTCCGACTACGAAATCCTTATCTCCACCAAACTCCCGTCCAAATTACACAACAGCATCCCGACCATCAGCTCCATCCCAAGGTACGCCATGTCTGACAGAGAAAACAAAACCTCTTTGATTGCTGCTGCATAATTTGCGTTGGGTTGGAACCTGTCCAGCCTGATCGGTGGCTGCAGGACGATGTGCTTCAGTGATCCCTCAAGGAAAACACCTGCCTTCCCAAAATCGTTACCTGAGCTTTGCACACCCTCTCCATTCCATCGCACAGTTAGCAGCCCTTGCTGCTTCTCGTCCTTGCCAGCACGTACTGCTAACTGATCGAAAACGGATAACAATGAACGCAAGCCGACGAAGAATAAATTTAGCAAATTACTGCTCCCAGCCAACCACCCAGCTGACGCGACAGATTCAACCACAAATTTCAAGACTGGAGCTCGGTGGCATGAACATTGCTTCAAAAACGAAGTGGAGCAGAGTTACAAAACTTGCTGCATTGCGCACGACCCACAAACCTTTGCATTACAGCGCGAAACCATTCCGAACATCAATCCTCGCAGTTCTTTCCTGAGAGTCCTCCAATCCAAAACCCTAGATTCAAGATTCCTGCTCCAATCCACCTACTTTCACATCATTTCGTATCTTAAGCTGTGTCAATGTTGCAGGCACCAACTGTAGCGTCGCCGACGTCCCTGCCAACCATTGTCTGCGCGAAAGTGTCATACGGGATGCGTATCTGACGCAGGAAATGCACCATTCAGGGCTCCAATTAGATCCAGAAATGGCTGCAGAAGGGCACTGGTAAGAGCACGTGGGCGACCAGGTCCCACCATCGCCAAACGAACGCTCGGGGATCCTTCAGTCCAACGCTAAACTCACACATGAGAGGCTACTGTGTGCCAGCCGGACCCGCCATCGCCAAGCATTTGCTGTCAATGCAGTCAACCATGTCGAAAACCATGCCTGCACTTGAACATTTGTTGGGAACACATCATGAAGAAACGAATGACTTCATGCTCTCAACTTAGAACCGCCATTCGCATTCGCTATAAACACACGCACACACGCATCGCTCGTGAAATGCTATTAAAAACATTATATCGAATTTGAGCAATTAACGTGTGTGTGTATGCATATATATATATATATATGCAAGTTTTTATTTATTTGGTGGATTAATAGACAACAAAGAGACAACCCAAGCACACATACAAGTTGTTGTATAGAAGTGATATATCAATATGTAAAAGGTTGTGCTTTTTATTGAATTTATACTTAGTATTTTTATTTGTATAGACAGATTTTAAATTTTATGTAGATTGTTATGTACTATGAAGCATTGGATCCCAACCTAACCAAACATCTATGTATACAAGCACAACCACATTCTTATCATAATATGAGTCCACTTCAAAAATAAAATTTCTAAAAAAATAAATTTATGTGTAAATTTGTAAATAAGTGTAAATAGACACAATAATTGCATTAGGGAATCATGTTGATTCTCAACATTCAACAGCAAGGTAAATAATCATAAACGTTATCTTTATAATTCATTATCATCTTATTTATCTAATATCTAAAATAAAATAGTTTAAATTAATAAAATAAATATTATAAAAAATAAATAATGTTAAATTAAATGTATATATATATATATATATTTATAAAAACATGTACTATTGGCTTCAAAAAGTTGTAAAATTTTAATTTGTGGTTACTAAGTAAAAAATTGACTATTCCTAAAAAAATGTTGACTAAGATAAGAATATATATATATATATATATATAGAATCATTTGTGTTTCTTCACTGTAATTAAAAAAACATAATTTTTATTCAATACAACTTAAATAACTAAGTTAAAAGAACTTTGGAATAAACTACAATTACAATGGTATTTTTATCTTCATAATTTTTAAGGTATATGATCTTAATCATATTTGGAGAAGTGCATCTTAAGATGGCAAATATGAGAGTTATAAGATATATTTCTATATTCTTCAATAATTGTTGTTGAAATTTGTTAACAATCATTATAAATATTATTTTTATTAAAAATTGCCTTTGATGCAATTTCAATAGAATCTTTGCAAATGATGGATATAATATAATCTTTAAAAGAATAGCTTATAGTTCCTTGTAGTCTCCATATAACAATCTTACCTCTATAACTTCATCTATCAACCATGTAATGATCAAGTGTGATCTATTACAAAGTGCTTGATGGAGAGCAATATTTTGCAACTACATTATATGACATTTGACCTTCAACTCCAAGTCATATGGTGGTAATATAGATGAAATTAAGCTATTCAAATACTCAGTTGGATAATAATTACTATTGTCAGCACCAACATCATAATTTTATATATGTAAAATAAAATTGTTAGTGAAATATTCATTTCCAATTGTTCTATTTTCATCCAATCTCAAATAGGCAACTTGAATCAAATAATTTAATATCAAACCTACTTTCATATATTTTAAAAGAATCACTATATTTTTCAATGGATCTATAATTATTAGTCTATTTCTAATCTGCATATAGAAATAATTTATAAATATATTAAACATAAAAGTTATATTATAAAAAAACTTTTAAAAAAAAACCGTCTTATACTATATATAGCTTTAAGAGCTTTTAGCAAATAATTGATTTTCATCAAATATACCTTCCAAACACATATTTTTTATCAACTTACATACTTTAATATGATACTAAATCTTTGAATGTTACAAAGAATAATCAAAAATATCTTTTCTTGAGTCTTTAACAAGAAGAAGAAGAATTTGTCAAAATCTCCACAAAAGACTATTGTAATTCTACCAAATAATTTATAAGTATTATTTATGTCTTAAAAAATTCTATCAATTGTTTCAACACAATAGCAATATTGTATTAATACCTCATTGTAGATGATAAAAATTATTCTTTTTATTAAATCTATATTTGGTGCATTCTTTGCAATATTGCAAAATAAAACTCCATCGAGATAAAGCAAAATTTTAAACATAGAGTGTATAATTTGTTCACTATTTTAAAATTGTGCTATAATAATAAAAGAATTAACTTATAAAATAATATTTTCATCACTTTAAAACTTTATTATTGTTATATTATAAACATTTACATTTTTACTTCCTTTTGGTCCTTCCAAAAAATATAGCTTTTTAAAATAATTATCCATTGAAATAAGGATATTTAAATATATGGTCTATTATTTATCATTCAACTTTGACACTTATTCTTCTACTAATCAAACAATCTACTCTTTATAAGATATAATAACAAACAATGTTCTTAATTGCTTCCTCATTTTCATTATCAAAGTTTTTTTCATACATTCTTTCTATTCTTTGTCATCTCCTAATAATCCTATTTTTAAACATATATTCTTCAAACTTAGTTGGAGCACTTCATTTATAATATAAAAATCTTTAAATAAGTATGGTCTACGTACCACCATTGAAAAAAGCCAAAGATAGAATCTTTCTTTAATAGCATGATCACCAAAATATAACCTTTCAATTATAAATCCGTGTTGTTTTTCTATCCACTTTTTTGAGGTCTCATTTCACACAAAATATTATAAAAACTCTTAATACTTGTATTGTTGGATATTATGCATAGATTCATGCATTTCAAAAAATATCATTAAAGTTATTTTTTATTATCATCCATGGACTAAAATATTAATTGCATCACCATTTGGATCAAAAATTATTTGATGCATTTTGGAAAGATACAATTTCAAATAAATCACATTTGAAACTCCTCGTGTTTTTTTATTCCAAACAAATACCATACTATCTTTGGAACTCTGATATATAATGCGTCAATATACTTCTTAACATCATTTTTTTATTATTCATTTTTATTTTTATATGGTCATATCTTTTATAGATATTTATTGATATATAATCTTTAATCAATACACGACACTTGAGTTTAAATACTCTTACTTCTAAGTCAAGGTAATCCTCAAGCCTTTGTCTTAAGAAAAGTATACTTGAGATCTTTGGCTATTGTAGATAGCAATCATTGTGCCAAATATATTTAGATACTAAAAATACTGAGTAATGCCCATAAAATTTTTAAAAAATTAAAATATTTCTTCTTGTACTTTCAATATGAGACAAGCAAAGAATCATTCTCTATATTAGATTTTGCACGTTAATAACTTGGTTTTATAAATCTCCAAAAATATTTGCTATTCCTTAATATATATCTCTATACAAACTATCTTAATTCATATGAAAGTATTTCAATTAATTTTTCTTTGTTGCTACCAAAGCATCTACAATATGTTTTTATAGCAACTTTCTATCTTATAAGATAATCAAGTACTTTTTGTATTATGAAAATAATTGATGTGAATAAAATTCAATTTGAGTAATACATGCAATTTGTATATTTTTATTTCCATCATCATTAGCATTTATATCTCTATATTTCATTTGGTCATGCCATTTACATTCTTTGCATGGAAAAAAAATAAATAACATAGTAGAGTAAAAAGTATATGGGATGTCTTTTATGAAATCATTGCAATGCACCTTTTTTCTACAAAATAATTATATTTTTTATCTTTTTTGTCTTTCTTCTATTGATTGATATAAAATAGTAATATTATTAGAAATTAAAATATTATAATATTTTTTTTGGTATCTTTATTAAAATAAAGATTTATATATAAAAAATTACTATTTTCTCATCTTTCTTTTGCTTTAGATAATATTTCATAAACTTATTGACAAAGTGAAAAAAATAAGTGAGATTCTATTAAACATTCTTAAAACTCTTATATTTTCTGGATTGACAAATTAGAATTATATACCATCCTTGTTTCATGTGCTATGTCAAAATCATAAATTTAAAGTTGTATATATCTACATCTTATTTTGGAAAAAGAATACCTATTTGATGTTAAAGTCATCAAAGTAAGCAAAAGCTATGTAGACCATATCCTTACAAGACAATATTATCAACTTTTGCATCAAAAGATAAAAATATATATACAACATCATAGTATAAAATAGTCTTCTAAAACTCCTTCTATTGTTTAGCTTGTCTATCAAGTAATTATCTTATTAACAATAAGAAATCTTTGAAAAGCAGAAGCTCAATCTTTCTATAAAAATTATATATGCCAAATTATAGATTTAAATTTTTTAATGGCATGGTTTGCTCATTCAGCTAATAGAGTACCTTGCAATGTGGGCATTGAATGTCCATATTTCTCACATTATCATAACATTCTAATATTTTTCTTTCATTATGATATTCACCAATTTGTTTTGCTCTATCATGTTTTGTTGTTTCTTCTTTTTGTTATACATATAGAATTTCTTCTCTCTATGCATTTCATCTTTATTATGTCCCTTTTCAAAGATTCATATATTGAGCAATCTCTCTACTAACACCATTATTTCTATTAATTATAGTACCATGTTCTTCCATCTCTTATTCATTCTATTTCTTATTAGGCACATTGTCAACAATATAAATTTGTCACTATCTTAATTGTATTTGCAAATCCATCATAAATATTATAATTTATTCAAATTTTTTTTAAGTTAAACATTATATCATGTACTGTCAAATTATTATTAATGTTATTTTTAATTATTTAATAAGAGATTATTAATGCAAAGAGTTACATATTGTATTTCAATCGTATTAATTCATTTCATTCAATTTGCTTATTCTTAATACTGATTTCTTTATAATATCCAACAAATTCTTCTTCTTTTAATTTAGCTCACAACTTTTGAATCTTAAGCCTTTCATAGAAATGTGAATTCTTTGCATTAAATATTATCAAAAAAATTGACTTTTTAATTTTATTATTCCAACTCACTCCACTTATACAATAGTAAATGCAATCTCTACATGTAACACATAAAATCCCTAAAAATCAGAATAAAAAATTCCAATAGTCACTTTAATTA